AAACATCTAAGTGCTATTTACTCATACTTACTCAACACCAATACAACCCTTCATCACAATAATAGTGACAGTATTATTACAGATGAAATCTAACTTTTAAATGACCACCTTTTATAATACAAGTCTGATTAAAAACTTTTATTATTCAACCTTTCATCATAACAATGGTGACAGTATTGTTTTTGATGAAATAATTATACAACATCCTTTCATTCATCACAACAATTAGTGACAGTTTTGTTGATGATGAAATAATTAATCAAGAAACATTTATTAAATAATAATTTAGGTACAAAGTAATTTTCTTAACCAAGTTCCTTATTAGTAATTTCTATATTTAATCTAACACACTTGTATACATAAACAACGAATGACATAAAATTTGACATAACAGTTAAATTTCAAACTTGACATAATTCTATGTAACTGAATTTTAACGTATATTGTACAACTATGTAATAGAAGTTCTATATGTGCATCACAATCATAACATTTAACATATTTAACATCATTAGTAATTCATCCTCACAAAGATGTAAGTAACTCACTCTCTTAATAATATTAAGTTCTTATGAAGACACACCACACATTTTATAGATTCCCTGAAGATGGAAATAAGTAATTAAATTTCCGAAAGCTTGGATCATCTTTAAAGAGTTTTCTTTATTACATATTATTTATTATATTATATTTATTACATTTATCCGTTTTTGAGTTTTCTACAAGATTCGAAATTTACACCGTTTCTCAAATATCTTGAATACGTTTCATTTTACAGAAATTATGTATAGAATAAAAATTATAGAGAAATATATTACAAACAACTTTTATTTGAACAATTTTCTTAAAAAATTGAAAACACACACACACAGAGAGAGAAAGAAAGAGAGAGAGAGAGAAAGAAACATATTTGCAAAATAGTCGAAAAGGATTCAGGGGACCCTAAAACGTATACTTTCCATATCTGTTTAGAGATAGGAAAGTAAAAATAGGACAAAAGAAATGTTTAAAAAATAACGATATTAAAGATGTGTCTTACCCGTTACAATGTATTTTATTTTATTCTATGTAATTTTTCCGTTTTTACAGAAACTTTAATTATTTTAGTTTTGTCACTGAAGAATATGTAACTTTAAATGTTGAAAATATTCAGTTAATTTATTTTCCCATTTGAACAAGTAGACAAAATAACGACTAGTTATAGAAAAATAATTTACAAGACACATTTCATTATTAATCGCCACTGTACCATATAAATAATCACTTTTTATTTATTTTAATGACCGATTTATAGTTTACTTTTGGTTTATGACTTAATTTTAACATTTTTCTCAATCAAGTTGCCTTAAAAGGATATAAACAATTCGCTGAACAAGTGCAAAGATAATTTGTAAATTAAAAGACGATGAATCCGTTTTAAATCGTTAGCACCATCATCAACCTGCGAGGAAATTACCTACTAAAAGAAATTGAAATATTTGCATAAATTGACCCTCCCTACAAATTGGAGTTCTAAGAAGCAGGACCTAATAACAGTAATCAATGTCACATCTCATTGTGATGAAAAGTACGGCATAGGAATGGCTTTGATGGTACTTTTACAAGCTTTTTCATGGAAAATATAATTAGAATTTTTAAATATGTGAGTGTGTGTTAGATATATTGCTTCGAACGGTGTCCATTTGCCATAGAATGTTTAAATAATAAAAACGGAATAAAGAAAAGAAAGGAATAAAAGAAGGTATCTCAAATACCTAATTTAGTATCCCGTATAAATTTAATAAAAATATCTAGGATATGTTTATCGGTGCATGTCAGAAAAGATGTCAATTTACTAGAAGAGATTAAAGATTTATGTAGCACAGATATTTGTAATGCATAATTTTGACATTTAACGAAAAGGTGATTGGCGTCTCCAACCAACGTATTATTGCAAATACAAGGAGGAAAGTCTATGATTTTTATTTTATGTAGATGGACAGGAAACCGTCCATGATTTAATTTGAGACGTGATAAAATAAAAGTATATTTTTTGAGTAAACCAAAAATCTGAAAACGCTCCAGTATTGGTAGAATTCGCTACATATCTAAATAAAAATGAGCTTTGGTTAAAGATACTAATAAATTAAAGGAGCTTAGGAAAAAAAGCCTGTCTTTAAGCGATGATCTTTCTAAGGAAGATCGAGAAAGAATAAATATTTTAAGACAATATCAGAAAACCGCCAGAGAAAAAGATTTAGATGTAGATGGTCGAAAATCATATTCAATAGATGAATTAGAAGAGAGATCTGGAAGCGAAGAAGAAAACTACTAGTAAAGAAGAATCAGAGGAGAAAAGTTCAAAGGCTGAAAAGATAAAAAAATTGAATGCGGTCTCTCAAAAACATAAAGCTAAGTCCAGTCCTCTGAATACTAGAAGTACCAAAAAAACGAAAAAAGAAAATGTGCTTTTTAAAGGGTAAACCTAATTTGTAAATTTATTTATACAATATAGTTACTTTTTTTACAAATTAGTTTCATAGTTTTTTATAGTTTCTGTAATAAATATTAAAGTAATGGCTAAGTTAATAAAAGTGTGTAATGTGAACACACGATCGATTTTAAATAAAGGACCCCGCACTTTTCTTATGCAAAGTGGCGACCCGTCAAATTTTCTGAAACTCCAATATGTTGTTGTAGTCATCCTAGTAACCAAAAGTGTCGATGAGCCCAACTCAATTCTATGACTAGTTAAAAATTGCCCAGTTTTTGAGAATTTTTATTTGTGAGCTCGATTGAATTTCTGATGCATACACACGTTTACTATGAGTTTTAGTAACAGATTAGAACATACGTACAATTAAAAATATATATATATAATTAGAGGGTAATTCACAAATGTATGACGGTAATTTTTTGTAAAATCACACTAATTCTACTGTGCGGTCAGAGAAGTATATTTTTAAAAAGTACTACTCAATATGGT